GATAAATCTAATTGAATTGTTTGATTTCTAAATAGTACATGCAGAAAAAATGCTACTAAAGCAGTTTATTTACTTTTTACTTTTTATTTACTTTTCAACCTTTTGCCCCTTTTCTTGTGTAATTGTATAAATGAATGAACCTCTTAACTTTTTAAAATGTCTTATATATTCTAACTAAAAACATAACAAAATAAATTTATTTTTAATTATCTACATATCAATGAAAATGCTAAAGTTATCATGGTTTGTATTCTTGTATTGTATTATTTTTCTTAAATAAACGGGCCTTAAACGTGGTTCAAAAAAAAAAAAATATCGAGGTTTTGAAATGCTATACACTGTAATATTGACGCTAGAAAGTGTATTCTAGAAAGATACATTTGAAATTGTAGTCTCAATAGAAAAGTATTTTTCTTTTGTCTCCCTTTTTCATTTATAACCTTGATTGACAAAATCTTAATGGTATTATGATACTGTCGAGATCAGAATTCGGTTTAAGTAATTTCATTGATTAGAAGACATTTTTTCTTGCTAGTACTAATAGTAATACAGTCATACGTGGTGGGCGGTTTAAGCCCCATTTACACTGTCCCAATTTGATGTCCCGGTTTGCCACGGTTTAGTTAACCGGGATCAACCGTGGTAAACCGGCGTTGGGCCGTTGCAATTCCGTAAAGTAAAGGGACAAACTATGGTGAACCGGAACAAACTGAGAGATCGTCACGGTTGTATTTAAATGTTTAATACAACCGGGGCTCACCCACACTCACCGGGAGGAAGCCCAAAACCGTGTTCTATTGGCTTGGAACAGGGAATTGCCGGGAAACCACCGTATCTATACCGCATCCATACCGTGACAAATCGTAGTAAACCGGGATGCGTGTCAGTCAATGTCCAAACGGCAAAGCCTCGGTGATGACACGATGTTGCCACTGTAAAAACAGGCAGAGCTAGGTAGAGCCAGGGTACAATGAGGTCACTGGCTACAACGCTCTGGTTGGACCCGGTAATGTCCCGGATTTTGCCGACAAGTACGGTTATACAACGATGATAGACGGTGGTGTAACGACCTCATTGTAACACCGCAAAACGTCCGTACCGCAAAACGTACGTATATGGACGTTTTGCGGCGCATATCGTCCACATTTTTTGACGTACATTTTGCGGCAAAAAGGCATGGTTCTGCCGCATAACGTCCATATTTTAAAGTGTATATAGTTTTCGTTAATTATGACCAGTTATTATCAGGTGTTATTGTGTGTTTATTTAAGCTCACCTGAGTTTCGCCTGTCTGTCTCCCTTTTCATACTTTTCCCCAAAACCATCACACATATTCATTTCAAACTTGAAATATTGATTGAATATCAAGGCAAAAATTTCATTTTAAAAGAAACGGCAAATACGTGGAAAAACATGCACAGTATGAAATGCACGGTCAACACGAAAATCGACAGACAATCTTGGTCTGATTCGAAATGGGAAGTGTTTTGGGCCATTTTGAAATTTGGCATTTAGCATTCGTGCCTCATAGGTTTGCCGATCCGCGGTCGGGTGTTAGATATGAGCGAATTTCACGATTAGCAGATATTGTCATATTATATGCCGGCAGATATCAATATTACAAAACGTACAGATTTAGGAAATTTTACCATTTGTCAAACACTATTTACGTTTGGACATTATGGCCAGTGATATTTTACTCGCCAAGTCGCTTTACACTATGATAGATTCTCGGAAAATATCATTAAATAAGAATACCAATAATTAGTTATGCTCATATTGCCCTTGCTATTTGGTTAAATACAGCTAGCCGTATTGGTCAGAGAATCTAGGCTTTTTATATTTTATTGACACATGATTGCTTTTGCTGTAATGAAAATCTTAATCTGTTACGCTTCATAACTAAATATTTCAATAAAATTTAATCTGACATTTTTCGAAAAAAAAAAACAAACAAAAAAAAACACACACACAAGACATACACTATACATGTGTAACGACGATATTAATTATATCTGTAACCACTTTGATGCTCGTAGTTTTTTTTTTGTCACGAGTTTGATTAGAACTTTTTGATTTCTTATCGTGTCCTAATGCGGATGTCGAAAACGTGATAGTAAAGTTCAAATGACCATAAATGAAAAGCATATGCACTTTGAGTCTTTATTTTAAAAGAACTTTATTGTTCAAAATAAAACATGGAACAGATGTGTAAAGAAAACATTTTTTATATTTATTGAAGAAACAAGAATGAGCACTGCCTTCTGACGTTAAAATGGAAATAAAAACACGCAAATATAATAAAACATAAATTACACTGTTTGTGCAAATAACATTTTTTAAGCTTTCAAAACTGATTTTGTTTGTCTACGTTAACGTCTGTACCAAATACCAGGTTGTCTCCTCAGGATGCTAGGCTGCCGATGTTAGGCTTCTAGTGCGTTATGCAAACTCCTAAGACCCATGTCGTCAGCAATTTTGGCTTCCTCTTCCGACTGCGAGACGATTTGCGTTCTCATCCTACTAGGCCATCATTCTGCCAACTCAGGCAGCCAAGCCGTTAGAATGTCTCTTAGCCAATTTTACAAACATGTTTGCAAAAAACTATTTACAGAACAATATTAATTTTGCAGTTTCATCCAAATGGTAGACAATTGTATAATTATCAATATGCACTTGTATAAGATCAGGTAAAAATCGAACGCAAAACAATATACATTTATAAATAATATGAGTTTTATCGTTGTATAAGTTGCAGCGAATTTCCATATACAGCTGTATAATAAAATCACTTTCACACAGACATAATTCGTCTTGAGTAGGCAGATTTAATCGATATAATACAACAATAAAACTCAAGTTCAACATAGAATTACACCTTGCGACATTTAACGGTAGTGTTGCGACATTTAACGGTAGGGGAAATTCGTGCGACATTTAACGTTAACATTGCGACATTTAACGGCAAATGATTTTGCGACATTTAGCGGCGGTTGCGACATTTAGCGGCAATGGTGCGACATTTAGCGGCAAGTGCGATATTTAGCGGTGTTGCGACATATAACGGCGCCACAGTGTGAACACATTTATTAAGTGACAGTCTTATTGCCTTACTTTCCAAATGTACATGGCAGGTTTATGAATCGGGAACGAATTTATTGGTCGTGTTTCAGAAATTGGTGTTGATCTCGATATTGTTGGCAACTTATGAAATGTGGTAGAAAAAATAGAGTCTAATAAAAATCATTCTTATAAGAGGGTTGGTCTCCAAATCGGGATGGTCGCTAAGCAAAGTTTAACTGAACATTTATTTGAAAATTGTTATTTAACAATGAGCACAAAAGTTAGAAGAAGGTAAACTCCAATTATTAAATTCCGTTCCAATTATTTATAAAACAAATATGGAAGGAATCGAAAACAATAAAATAAGTGACTGTTATAAACTGATAGAAATAGCAAGACAAAATATTATTTTGTGGCTTACATCGCTGAATAACAGTAATTTAAAGGCATATTATGTCTCAGATACATACAGATTTCTCCTTCTTCAGAAAGAGCACATATAAGTTTTATAGCATCATCAAATAGTTTCAGAGAATGTGAGATGCTTATCACTGCAATATTAGTAGTGTTGAATGTAAAATCATTTGTAATAAAATTAGGTAAATGTAAAAAAGTAGTATTTTGACTTTCGTACAAAACTAAGTCACTTATTTGAAATAATAACTGCAGTGAAAGAATAAAGGCTGACAACTTTATGCGATGAAAATAAATAACATAACAGCATTTCGATATATACAAACTTAATGACATTGATCTTAACGGCACTAAACACGAATTATTATGAAAGAAATTTACAAAAAAAAAATGGCCAACGCGCCTTTTAATCATCATTTTACATTCTTTTTCTCACTTATGTGTACAATTTATTCACTTTGTCTTATAAAATGCTGAATAAAAATAAGGACGATAAAATAAAAGTAAAAAAAAATATCTAAACATTTCTGTGTCAGGGAACCACGCAACTTGCCAGAAGCACATTTCTAAACAAATCTGACCGTTAGATTTATTGCGCAATCTGTAAATGCTTGTTTAAACAATTCAGCGTTCATTTGAGTGGAAATAATTGAAACTAATATGACATGGGTGGGAATCTGTGGGCCCCGATTACGATCCATTTGTCTGAATGTTGTTTATTCAATTTTATTGACAATTATTAGATTAATTAAAATCACGGCCCATCGTGCATATGTTTTCCAGGCTCGTTTTATATCTAAACGGGGACATTAAACACAAAAATAATTGAAAATGTTCCATTATAATTCGGTTTTAAAAAATACTCAAATTTAATTTCATTATTTCATTTTTCATTTAAATTTCGTTCTTGATACATTCCCTAAATATATAAAATTGTATGCAATTTCAACAAATCAAACTTTTAAGTTATTACAATTTGAACATATTTTTTCTTCTGCTTATTTTTTTTAAAGATCATATTCCAAAAATTTGAAATAAAAAAGAAAATAAGTTCATGAAAATGAAACTGCTTCGCTCGTCTGCCGGAATGAGTGGGATAGTCTATTACAAAATTGATGTTATAAAAGATGGGACACATATGTGCAGATTAATATGTGATTAATCAACTAGGAGGGAAAGTGTGAAAGAGAATGTAAACAAACTTAGCGTATCCAGACGACGACTTCACAAGTAGAACATTTTTATCCTCTTTGCGGATGAAATAACGCTATACAAATGTTTCAATTTGCATCTATGATGTACTGACAGGCAAAGAATGTAAAATAATTATCACAGCGCGATAACTATCGAACGTTTGGACAAGATGTTAAAGATTGTCAACAACCATGAAAACATATCCCGCTAGAATGATTTCATTAGTTCCAGCGCTTCTTATTGGATGCTTTTCATCACTGCTCCGCAGTTGGGCGGGTTATAGTGTCAGCAATTTTCTGATTGGATAAAATTCTTACATTGAGAAGCGATGCAGAATCCGATAAATACACGCTGAAAGAACATCCTGTGTGTATTCAGTAAATTGAAATTATATTAAACGGGTTCTTCAAACGAAATAAACGGATGTTTTAAAACAAATGTTAGAGCGAATTTGAAGGAGTTTAATTGATTTTTATTTGACGAAAACAAACTGGCAATGGTGCAATCAGTTTCAATGGAATCTAATCCTCTTTCTCAGATGCGCTTGCATCCATTTAGTATCAGATGTGTTTTAGGTGAAACAAATAAGTTTGACAATGAAGAACAAAAACTCGATGCGAATAGAAATGAGTACGATGTGAGAAAAGAACTAATTGAAAAAGAGCAGTCGGAGAGTCGTTTCCGACGAGTAGAAGATACCGGTGATAGTGACTCAAGTTATTGTAAAGATGAAGATAGTGATGTTGAAATAAATGTTGACGACGTCAATGTTAATGACGAACATGACTTTGAAGAGTGTAATGATAACCAAGCAGACGACTTTGAACAGACTTTTTCACCTGGTGAGCAGAATTCTGCGGGACACATAAGTGACGATGGCGATGTGAAAATGAATAAAAGTTGCGAGAAAAAGGAATCGGATGTTGATGAGTCTTCAAAGAAGCCAGAGAAACCACCATTCAGTTACAATGCATTAATCATGATGGCGATTAGAAGCAGCCCAGAGAAAAGACTGACACTTAATGGTATCTATGAATTTATCATGAAAAACTTTCCATATTATAAAGAAAATAAACAAGGTTGGCAAAATTCTATCAGGCATAATTTGAGCCTAAACAAATGCTTTGTGAAGGTGCCGAGACATTATGACGATCCAGGCAAGGGAAACTACTGGATGTTAGATCCCTCTGCAGACGACGTTTTCATAGGCGGTACAACCGGAAAGCTTCGGCGTCGATCGACTACAGCATCACGTAGCAGACTGGCAGCGTTCAAGCGTATGGGGTTCCCTCATCTTCAACCGATGACATATTCACCTATGAGTGATAGAAGCGTTCCGTATGGATGGCCCTTTTCACAACTGTATCCTATGCACGGCTCAGCTAATGGGGCAAGTTTGGGACTGTCTTCATTCCCGATGTATCCATATTATTCGCGCGTTCTTTCAACGGCGGCTGCAGTCGGAAGGGCTGCAAGTAATTCAAGATTGAACTTTTCTATGGACAGAATCCTCGGGAACGAGCCGGTGAATCTTAGCAATACTTCTTCAAGTGTTCAGAGTTTACAAACTGAAAAATCAGCTGTAAATATGTCGTCTTCACAGACACGGGGTTTGATGAACCCGGCAATACAGTCACTTTACCGCCAGGCGGCATCTCAAGGAACTATTTCACCGTGTTTCGTAAATGGAGTAGACCTAAGTGCTTCCAGTATGAGAGACTTTAGTATTTCGTCGTCGTCTGCCTTTACTGCGACTTTAAAATCTTTGGCGGGAAATCATCATGCTAGTGACGTTCGGATTCCATAAATATATAATATATGATATTCATATAGTTCAATCTTTAAATTCTTTTGTAAATAATAAAGTTAAAATGTCATTATTTTTTCGAAGTGAAATTTGACAGTTTTTTCAACTGCAATTTTAAAAGAAATTTAGAATTCTGTCTCACGTTTGACACTGGTAGATTTATTGCACATAATGGGATATATAATAAGGTAAAATATTTTGATATTTTCGTCGGAAAATAGTGAAATTATTGATGCAAATATTGTAAAAAATTGAAAAAGATATATTTATTGAGCATATATATATATTGAAGCGGCAAAATAAAATGATTTTGAAAATAAAATGTCTTTTGTTTCTACCGTACATTTTAAGAATTCAACAAGACTTAGTATGTGTTTATATTAACATAATATATATACTTATATTTTAGACGGATTCTCTCAATTAACTAATATTAGTTTTACTGTTGATTTTTGAGTAGTTGAATATAATTATTTGTTTTTGTTATTCTGTGTGTTGGAAGAGGTTTGATTGCAAATAAGTATTTTGCAATAATTATTTACCCTTTAGACAGATTCCGTGCCGTCTGATCTTACAAATATTTTTTAAATTTCCCTAAAAAGTGAATGGTTTAGTCCTGTTTGAAAGATGGACAAGTCCATTTAAGATATTTAGCGTAGTAAGTGTTAAAAATATAAAAAGTAAGCTCTTTGCCTCCACGTGAGTACACATATTGAAAATAAATGAAATCAAATTTAAGAAAATATTTGAAAAACTTAAGAACATGCATAAATATTCTTTCCCAAACCTCATAGGTAAACCACATGTTTTATTTTTTACATTTTATTTATTTTTTTTTTGTAAATATGACTGGCTTTACTATACAATTGCTTCTACTCTTAAGCTAATATTTTATTGGCTTTTTATGCATATTTTCCCTCAATAGATAGATCCATTATGATTCTTTTTTTTTATATTTTTTACAGTATATTGAATTTTTAAAAGAAATATTTAATTTCACTTAACAATAGGATATTGGGATAAAATCTAAATTTTCAATAAAAAATGTGAGTGCGTGCTGCACTTACAAAAACATGGTTTGTAATCACGTGAAAGTACAACAGTACAATGATAAAACAAAAACAACAACAGAAAACAACAACAATTTTTTGAAGATTACATTAACAAAATCCCTAAAAATAGAATTAGAAATAAACATTATTTTAATCTGAATATTCATTTACATAATTTATTAATAAGTCTACCAACAGCTGTACTATCAACATCATATATATTTCCTAGAATATAATATTCCAAATAATTTATACACGCGATTTTATCTGAAAAGAGTTAATTGGCCAGAAATACATAACACAAAAAAGAAGAGAGAACAAAAAGGTTTTGATACAGCATATATATTATGATAATTTGCATGATTAAGAGATGGTTGAAATGTCACGAGAACTATTTTTCTCTGCTAGATATAACATCATAAAGAGATCTATCCAACAAACACAAATATTCCTGTCTCTAGATAATTATAGTCTCCGCCATTTTACAGCTTCTCCTTGATTTTCCTGCAGCTATTTGTATTATTGATATAATTTTCTTATAAATGAAAAAGCTATTGGTTGTTGAATTGAGTTATTTTATACGTACTTTAAATAAACATATTCATCAGGTTTAATTCGATGCATTTGTACATGTACTTCTATATTTTGTAAATAATTGTAAATACTCTATATAGTAATTTGATGCTGACACATTATTCATTTTAAATAAGACGAAGAATAAGTCATAACAAAATCATAGCATCTATTAGCATAATATATGACTTCATAATACATCGTTTGGCAGTTTGACAAATAAATTTAAATTAGTTACTAGAGTATTATATTGCGGGAGCGTATAATAAACTACAATTTACGGTAGCATTATACTTCATGAAAATAAAACATATATATCAATACACAAAATAAAGATTACTTCTACATTAATTACGGCAAAACATAATATTATAGTCAATTCCGATAAATTGTAGCTTAATCAAACACTTTATTTCGTAATAATTATAAGAAATTAAGAAATGAAAAGTTAATTTGAAATGGAAAAGTTACAGCTGAAAGTAAGTTTTCTCTTTAACAAATCATCTTCGCCTTAAAACAGATAATTCATTATAAATTATTATTTTGTGAGTGTTTTGCTGTAATTATTGCAAACTCTTTTCAAGGGTGTCTGGACTATGATATATATACTATTTGGTTGATTTTTTTTTACATATCCGTGTATGCGAAAGTGTGTTGTATAATGTAACATTTTGTACACCAGACAGTAGAACTTGAGTCAATTTAGTTTTTTGATAGTGAAAAACTTTGTTTGTATTGTATCATGTCCTAAATACATGTTATTATTTGTATTATACGTGTATATAGGCAGGGCAAAGTTGAAAAAAAAGAAGAAAAAATGATATGAATCTTGCTGCTTAAGGTTTTTTTTTACGATAAACTTGTCCAGTAAAAAGTTTTAATAACAAATACATCTTTCTCTAAAACGTACTTACTCCATGTATCTATATATCTCAAACTCAAACTCAAATAATTATTAAGTCTGAAGACATTAATTTTCAACGTTCAAACACACCACTATATAATTTACTTTTTTTTTTAAATTATTCGAACAATAATCAATTTATTAAATCATTATACAATTATTTCCTCTCTGAATGCAGTAAAAAGCGATTGACAAATAAAATAGCATATGACATACAACAATGAAGTTCATATAATAAAATCATGCTATAGATAATTTTTTAACAAATATAACAGGAGATTATAGAAAATCTTACCGTAAGCAAGTATTCTGAAATAATATTAACAAATGTTTCGGTTTATGTCTTCACATACTTTCTCTAAATTTTTTAGAAAAAATAAATCATGGCAATTTCATAAAGCGTTAGAAAATGAAAATTGAAATGTCTATAATGTGCTTTTTCAACCAGTAACATAGATTAATTTTCAAGTATGCAATTAAATCTATTTCTTTCATTTTATCACTTTATAAAATAACAATATTTACAACATAATGATTGAACCAATGTGGTTCGTTAATCACAAAGTAATTGTGTTGCTATTCTTACGTGTTTGGAAACAATATAAGCCGCGTCACGACAAAACCAACATAGTGCGTTTGCGACCAGCATGGATCCAGACCAGCCTGCGCATCCGCGCAGTCTGATGAGGATCCATGCTGTTCGCTATCAGTTTCTCTACTTGTAATAGGGTTGGTAAGCGAACAGCATGGATCCTGATCAGACTGCGCGGATGCGCAGGCTGGTCTGGATCCATGCTGGTCGCAAACGCACTATGTTGGTTTTGTCGTGACGCGGCTTATATGTTTTTCAGGCAGTTCAAGACAGGAAATTATTTCAGTATAATAAAATAAAAACATCCGCAAAAACACTGTAAAAACAGTGCCACGAAAATACTGATATAAAACAGACATAGAAAAGTATGACCACTATACACACTACAAAAAGCAATGGAACAAATGTTGAAGTTCTTTTGCATATTCAGCAATAAACATAACTATTTACATTTCTAACAACTGATACAATTTTTTACAATGAAAATCCAAGCTTGAAAAGTATAAGATTTAATGTAATGTGAATAGATCTTATATATTTTTGCATCTAATTTGTTAATTTTTCTTTGTTTGAGATGCAAAATTGATATAACAAATGCAGTTACTTCTACTAGTTATTATTACTCTTACAACGATAGATAGACCTGTCTGTTTTTTTTTAATCTGAAAAAAAAAAATCATTCATCATTGTAAGAAATTTTTAAAATATGCTACTGGATATCTTAAAGTGCGGACCATTATCAGACTGCAGAGATGTCCCGGATGTGCCGGCTAATATTGGTCTGCACGGGCCGCACGGGTTGAATCTGTTGTCGCCAGCACGTTAAGTGTTAAATAATTACACAGATTTGTTTATTTAAACGCAGAGATGACGGACTACTTTCAAGACTACAAGATAAATACAATGTATAAACATTCATACTCGAAGGTCTTTCAGATTCAAACACATTTACGATACTATTAGGGTAATTGACTTGATTAAGCCTTTAAAGAACTAAGTATAGAATTATTTGATACAGCTTAATAATCTGAATACATCATTGTACTAATTTTCATTACGACCTTTTCCCAGTATGGCAAATAGCTAAATAATCACATAAACATTTTGTAGTCTTTCATGCCCGGCTTTTGCTTTGGAAATATACAACAAGAAAACCACTATATATTGTTTTATTTTTAAATATGTCCAGGTCTGACAGCCGATGGACATGCATATCAAATGAAATCTGCATTAAGATAGGGGAAAAAAATGCCTTAAGTAGATATTTTTCAACTAAAAACGTTCGTATGCATCAATTCGCTATCAGACTGATGAAGGAATATTTACAGTCTATGTGAAAATAAATACCTTAGAAGATCTGTCTGGTGTGACAACAACGAAGATGTATTGTCCAATATGCTGGCAAAATATAGTGACATATTTTACCACAGTAAGATTTATAGTAGTTAGCATAACAATATATAGACTTATAATCATTGAATATACAACTTCAAATAAGGGATAACAATACAAATAGAGAGATCTGATAAAAAAAACAACATCTAAACCGTTTACTTGCTGAATGTGTGTAATGAATTCGCTTTGGTTAAAAAATTTGTAGGATTTCAATAACCTAAAATATATAAATTGGCTTAAAAATTATCAAGCCTGGTCATACTGTACGGATGATGTTGGCAGACCTGGCTCTATACTGGTGGCAAAGGCTTATAAATCACTTCCGGTTACTGCAGGTTAAAATACCATAGTGCAACGTTTATATATACATGTTGATATTTTTTATCAGAACTAAAACTAAAACAAACTGGTCAATGTTGAGGTCAGTACATACAATTTTTTTTCTTTATATTTATCTTGTCTGTAGGTGTGGGAAGTAAAACTGTGTTTTTTTTTTTTTTTTTTTTTTTTTTTTGAAGCATGTGTCCATATTTTTGCTCGAGCGAGAGAGAGCTTCATTTACGCCCACTCCAAATAAATGAATCCTAGCTTTATATGGTAATAACTGAAACACTGGAACTAAATTTTATTCATCTCTGTGGTAAAAAATGTAGTAGGCCTCACGTCTTGTCAATAATGGTGGCATTTCTTTCCATTTTAAGTGTATTGGTCTAATTACAATTGCTATAAGTATTTCAAATTTTTAAAACAGTAGAAATATATGTTTTGGATATTATTTTAAAATATTTTTTTTTTTAAAA